GCCGGCTGCCGGCCAGCCTGAGGCTCAGGCAACAAGGGCCGGGCCTAGGTTCAGGCAGCTGCGGCAGCCGGCAGTGGCAGCATCAGAGGCATGATGGGGACATTGCCTTTCCCTGATTGGCCAGTGGCCTCCCGCAGAGGGAGGCCAGACTGCGGCTTAGGCCTGATCCCCAGGGATCAGGGAGCGGGGCTAAATTGTCAGTAGGACATCCCCTGAGGGCTCCCGGGCTGTGAGAGGGGGCAGGACGGGCTGAGGAACCACCACCCCCACCCCCCCAGTGCACGAATTTTCATGCACCGGGCCTTTAGTGTGTGTGTGTGTGTGTGTGTGTGTGTGTGTAATAATAAAAGCGTAATAGGCTAATTAGACTGGATGTCCTTCCAGATGACCTGGATGAAGCCAAGGCTGAGAGGGAAGCCCAGGTCCCGGGTGCTGGAAGGAAGCCAGTGCCAGCAGCCGAGGGAAGGAAGGCCTACTCTTGCACGAATTTTGTGCATTGGGCCTCTAATATATATATGAAATAAATCCTTAACTACAATACTGAGAGGGAAGGGTATAGAATTGAAATAGTGATTTTTGTCAGAAAAACATATTTTGGGAAATTATTTGTGGGTTTAAGTTGTAGTTTTCCAGGGAATTTGCCTTTATTTTCTCTGTGTTCCGGGTCTTGCCTGAAATTTAGACACCCCTTTCTTCCTCTACCTTTCTGGTGCTGTCTATTAATGGTGGTGATCACCTCTGAGGAAGAAAAGCCCACTTCCACTGACCATGGAGAACACTCAGCATCTCTGCTTGATTTTGGATGGATCATGAAATGCTTCTAAAGTAGCCAAGAGTTAACTCTCCTAACCTTTTTATATAATAAGCATGTTACCACCAAGGTAACTTACCCAGTGGAGTCAACTACATAGTGGAAGCACATTCTTTACACACTTAACGTATGCAAATTCAGTGCTAAAACAGAAAGTGCACAAGTGAGAGAAAAATAACATTTTAAATAGCACATGCTCAACCTTCCTTCTCAGTAAGACTCAGGCTATGGATTAAATCAAATCTGAAATAGTCAGTTCATATAGAAAGAATGTGAGGATGGCTTTAAAGGTTTCCCAGTGTTGGGGTCCATCCCCAGCAGGTCCAGGGGTTCCCAAAGGTGTGGACAGAGTCAGCAAAGAATGAAGGAAGGACAGGGAGACAGCGTTCATTTGATCAGCATAGCCAGGTTCTCTAGCCAGGTTCTCCAGCCAGGTTCTGTCTTTATTGTCCTGTTACATCTGTATTTATACCAGTTGATTTTAATCCTATCCATTCTATTCCAAAGGTTAGGGTGTTATTTATCTCCATTCCAAGGTTACTCTATTTTTCTATTAAGCTACAAGGAAGTAACGGAAGGAGATTATCCTAAGTAAAGATTATATAGCTTAAGTGTGATTGTTCGTAGTTAAAGTGATTAACAACCCGCCTGGCACTTAGTTAAAGGGTTTTACGGGTTTATTCCCTTCCTTAGTCCTGTTAATCCCTAACTCCAGGGGAAAAATCCCCACCTGGGGAAACAACCGTTCTCGGAGAGGTGTCCTGGTTAAAACACATAGCCCTAAGAGGGGGAGCAAACATATGCCATATATGCCAGGTCCCTTGAAACATAAGCTGTGAAGATGTTTCTTCCCGGCAGCAACTGTGTTAAGCAGCAAGGGTGGACCAGCTTCCGGCAAATTCCCCCATTTTTATTTTTTAAATGACAGTGCATGTAAATCAGCAGCCACCTCTCGGATTGGGTTGTTTAAGACTCGGAAGAAGACTTGTTTGTGACTTTGCCAACAGGTCAGTCTGAGGCTTAACCCTATATCAGCTCCTCACATCCCAGTAATTGATAAGCATGTTCAGGTGGCCAGGCCAGTGGGTGGGAGAGCTTCTTTCACATTTACAAGGTTATTGAAGGTTATTGAGAAGCAGCACCTAAGAATTAGAGGAACTGATAAAATCCTCCACAGAGAATGATATGATGATAACAAGTTGAAAATTTTATAAATTTACTGTGTTCAAAGGAATGAAACACCTGATCGATTAAATTTCTGAGTGTTCTTTTTTTTAAAATATATTTTATTGATTTTTTACAGAGAGGAAGGGAGAGGGAGAGGGAGTTAGAAACATCGATGAGAGAGAAACATCGATCACCTGCCTCCTGCACACTCCCTACTGGGGATGTGCCCACAATCAAGGTACATGCCCTTGACCGGAATCGAACCTGGGACCCTTCAGTCCACAGGCCAACGCTCTATCCACTGAGCCAAACCGGTCAGGGTTTCTGAGTGTTCTTTATGGATTTTCAGTGGTTATTTTTACCATACACTATTACCCCATTACAACCTGTCCCCTAAGTAAGAGGCTACCAAATGGTATCTGTACCAATTTAGTTTGATAGTGTAAACTGAGTAAGATAATGGCTATTAAGAAGCCAGTTCTTGGCTCATTATTACTTTTTTTTTTTAATGTGGGTATGAATTTCTTTCTCATAGTAGAAGTCTGAATTTAAAATCTAGATTCTTTGACCATCCTAGTAATTTGTGCTATCTACACCATTTTACTTTGTTGCTAGGGTCTTTTCCCACCCATATCCACTACTTAGATAATTACTACCTTTGCAATGCATAACTACCAACTAAAAACAACATAATTGGCTAAATTGTTTTTTTAAAAGATACTGTTTTAGTTGTACCTATTTTGTGAAGTACATTTTCTTTTGTGTTCATACAGGTAAATATGATTAAAGATGATGGAACAGTTATTCATTTCAACAATCCCAAAGTCCAAGCTTCCCTTTCTGCTAACACCTTTGCAATTACCGGTCATGCAAAAACCAAACCAATCACAGAAATGCTTCCTGGAATATTAAGTCAGCTTGGTGCTGACAGCTTAACAAGCCTTAGGAAGTTAGCTGAACAGTTCCCTCGGCAAGGTAGGTATTTCATTTTAGTACCTCTTTTCTTCCCCATTTTAAAGAACCTAATGATTTTTAAAGGTGTCACATTACTAGAAGGATTTGCCTGTATGTATATTTTACTTTTATAATATTACTTATATGCTTCATACACTTTTTAGTTGGTTTCTTTAATAATTATGCAGTGTGGCATAGGGATACATTTGGTTGAAAGTAAATGAATGCATTTTGGTTGAAAGTAATTACCTAAAAGGTACGAGCCAGGATCTTCAGGCCACATTTTATAAAGTCAATTGATACTTCTGGTTAATGGCAGCAAGAACATAGTGTTGTACCAGGCATTGTGTTAGATTTTGGTTATCCATATAATAAAAGCCTAATATGCTAAGTGTCTGGTGACTGGTCGACTGTTTAACCAATCAAAGCGTAATATACTAAGGCCACTCAACTGCTCACTATGATGTGCACTGACCACCAGGGGGCAGACAGTCTACCGGTTGACCAGGTGCTATGACATGCACTGACCACCAGGGGGCAGATGCTCCTACCGGTAGGTTAGCTTGCTGCTGGGGTCCGGCTAATCAGGACTGAGTGAGATGGGCCGGACACGCCCTGGAGCCCTCCTATGGTCCCTCCCCTGCCCCAATCGTGCACTGGTGGGGTCCCTTGGCCTGCCCTGCACCCTCTCACAATCCAGAAACCCTTGGGGAATGTCAGAGAGTCGGTTTCAGCTCAGTCCTGCAGGCCACTCCCCTCGGGAGGGCTCCAGACGCAGGACTCATGGCTGGCAAGCGCTGCTGTGGCAGCATGAGCTTCTCTCAATTGGGACTAATTGGGCATGAGCCCGCAGCAGGCACAGGGGGGGCAGTTGGGATGAGCAGGAGCAGCAGGTAGGAGCTGCGGGTGGCGTTGGACTGGATTTTGGCCTGATCCCTGCAAGCCACCCCGTGAAAGCCCACCTGTGCAGAAATTTGTGCACCAGGCCTCTAGTACACACATAAAGACCACCAGGGAGCACACAATCTAATTGGAGAGAGTAAGAGGATACCCAAGTTTGATTTTAAGTCATGTGCAGAGATAGAGGTTTCTCCTGGGTGTGTTATAAACAGAATGTCGATGACAACTGTAGCCTGTGGCTCTGAGTTTTCCCCTTATTTGAAACTAGAGACCCGGTGCATGAAATTCATGCATGGGGGTGGGGGGGTCCCTCAGCCCAGCCTGCCTGGTTGCCCCTAACTGACCCTCCCCCCTTGCCGGCCTGATCGCCCCTCACTGCCTCTGCATGCCAATCTGATCACCCCTAACTGCCCCTCCTACAGTCCTGGTTGCCTGTAACTGCCCCCCCTACAGGCCTGGTCACCCCCAACTGCCCCCCCCCCTCCCACCGCCAGCCTGGTCACGCAGCCTGCTTGTTCAGTTGTTTCCCCCTAACTAACCTCCCTCCCGGCCTGGTTGCCTCACGCAGCCTGCTTGTTCAATTGTTTGGTTATCCCTCACTAATCCCCCTGCTGGCCTGGTCATAGGCAGCCATCTTATGAGGGCTAATTTGCATATTACCTCTTTATTATATAGGATACCTCTCTCACGTTAAGGCAATTTTTAGTGCAAAATCCTGTACCTGTGACTATAGACAGGCACAGCCCTCTTGCAGCTTCTGAACTGCTGTGTACTCTCAGCACAGCCCACACTAACCTTACTTGCAGACTAGACTAGAGGCAAGAGTGAAGACCCACTTGTGGCTGCAGCCAGCCTTAGCTGTTTGGAGTGGTGCCAGATCCTCTAGAAAGTGGTGGAACTGACAGTTAATCAGTGTGACCCTGAGGCCTTGTAACTCCTGCCAACCAGCCTTTACTTCCCTTGTGGCTACTCTTCAGGACTGGGGACAAGGCCAGTCGTGGGATAGGAGGTAGGGGTTTCTGTGCTTCCTAGAAAGATGCACAGTCTGGGAGCAAGTGACTTTTCCACAGGCTTCTTGTCTAACACCCATTCTTCCATCATACTTTCCTCTATATTATTTTTAGCTGGAGATTTCTGTGGATAAGTGCTTTTTACTAATTCCTGATGATGGAGACTTATCGAGGCCTCAAGCAGGCAGGTTTAATAGGAGTTATATTGCAAAAAGAAGTATAACAGATTACATGTTGGACCTGGAAAGTTATTAGACAGTTGTGAAAACTTATGAAACCCATGGACATAGTTTTCAGAACCCACACACATACAGGTTTTTTTTTTAAATTGTTGTAAAATATACATAACATAAAACTTAGCATTTTAACCATTTTAAGTGTATAGTTCAGTGATATTAAATACATTGACATTGTTTTGCTCCATTTATAGTTTTAAATCTATTGTATTTAAAGATAGAATCATAGTTCCTTTTCCCCTCCCATCCTCCCCTTCATTTGACAGAGCAGGTATTCCAGAATACCTGTGTTTAACTGGTGTATTATATTTAGAGCACAAGTCTTGGCTCAAAATCATTGATGATGTGTGGTGACAAGGAGAGTTACGTTGGGACCTAACTGCCACAAGTCACTGCATCATCACAGTTCTGCTTTCCAGGAGCTAGAACTCAGGCTAATGTCATCACTATTGCTAATCAAAACCAGCACCGATTTTAGACATATTTACTTCTATGGTTGAGAAATGGAGAGTGTAGGTGGCCAAACACAAGGGAAAAGAAGTTCTGCATAATGAACACTTTATTAAAGTATGATCATTAACATAACTTTAAAGGCAACAGTTTCTGAATTTTGCCCCATTGTCATTTGAGTCCCACATCCTTGAGTTTGCTCTATCACATTTTTTTTATATATATTTTATTGATTTTTTACAGAGAGGAAGGGAGAGAGATAGAGAGTTAGAAACATCGATGAGAGAGAAACATCGATCAGCTGCCTCCTGCACGTCCCCCACTAGGGATGTGCCCGCAACCCAGGTACATGCCCTTGACCGGAATTGAACTCAGGACCCTTCGGTCTGCAGGCCGACGCTCTATCCACTGAGCCAAACCGGTTTCAGCATCTAATACACATTTTATATCCTGGAAAAAATGCAGTTAAGATATATGAATAAAATGCTTATCCAAACAATTGAAAAAAAACACATAGTTCTATCACAGAATTATATTTCTGTTTAGTATTATTGATTGTACTATAAATGTAGCAACCAAACATTCTGAATTTCCAAAATAGTTTTGGTTTCATATGTGTCTTTTTTTTAATAAAAATGTTTTGTTTTGTTTAATATATTTTTATTGATTTCAGAGAGGAAGGGAGAGGGATAGAAACATCAGTGATGAGAGAGAATCATTGATTGGCTGCTTTCTGCATGCTCTCTACTGGGTATCGAGCCCAAAACCCAGGCATGTGCCCTGATCAGGAATGGAACCCGTGCCCTCCAGGTTCATAGTTTGACACTCAACCAATGAGCCATGCCATTCGGGCCCATATGTGTTTTGTCACTCCTAAAAATCAAACAGTCTATTATTTCAGTGCTCATACTGCGTAGATAGATACTTTCTTACACCAAAGGAGATGAAAAAAATCTTGAATGTTGATTTTTTAATTTGGAGAATAAATTAACTATGTCTTTTTATTCAAACTAATCTGCATTACTCCATTTTTATATGTTTTACATGCAGTGCCCATTGAAATAGCCAGCTGTATTTAGGGTATGTCCAATGAAGTTACAGTTTTATTGATTTTAGTATTAAGTAAAAAATATGACATTAGATTATATAATATTTTACTTTTTAGTAAGATTTAGACATGATGAAAATATAAAGTATCTGTACATGTCTTTGTTCTCAGTGACTAATTTTAAAACAAAATTTTTGCAGTGTTGGATAGCAAAGCACCAAAACCAGAAGACATTGATGAGGAAGATGATGACGTTCCAGGTAAGTGACGTTTCTGTAATTTTAAGATTTTTTAACATACTGCTGATCGCATTAATTCATTGCATAAAGACTTACAGTTTGTTGTTGCTGGTGAGCTTGTGAATATTCATTCACAATGATGTGGATATGATCTAATGAAAAAGAATAAAAGCCCTCTCATTTAGAACTTAGAATCAGAAATTGTCACACAAACCTTTGCTGCCTGCATATGAATTTGGAATCACTGTAATTATAAATTTGTATAGCTATTGTTATAATATTTCTGTGGAAATTATCATTGACATCTGGAAATGCTGTTCACTTTAGTAGGTATAGACAAGACTAAAATTTCCTTTGGGTTACTGTTTAAGCAGATAAATGAAGCATTATTAGTGAAATGCCACCAATTGATTTCTGTTCCTTGTCCTGTATATTTTCAGACTGATTCTAGTAGCAACAACTTTGTTTTATTGGAGTTAGAAGTTAGGAATTTTATTTACCTCTTTTTTTTGTATCTTTAACTCATTTACTTTTTTTTTTTCCAGATCTTGTAGAAAATTTTGATGAGGCATCAAAGAATGAAGCTAACTAAAATCTTTTCTGGTTTTTGGAAGTTGGCATGGACTAGATTTAACAAATCAGCTATGTGGTTCCAAAGTTTTACAGACACGGAGAACATCAACTGTTACTAGTTCAGTAATATAATATTTTGTATATTAATAATGCTGTTTGTTCAGCATTTTCGGTCATTTGATTTTGCATTTTGCACTTCCTCCCAGGATCTATTCTTAGAAATAAAACAAATCTTTACATTTGTTACTTTTTATTTTTTCTAATAATGCACAGAATTAATGAAAAGTGAGTATCTTGGATTTCAAATCTGAGGAGATTTTTATCCTTGGAGGTTTGGTTTTCATTTGCTTGGTTAACATATTTTTCATACATTTCTCTGGGTTTAAAATGTCTTGAAATGTTTTCACCAGCTTCTGCTGGCATAATGGGTAGCATGTCTTTGGTGCAGTTGCCTTAGATTCACTTATCTAGTCAGACCCAGAAGAACTTGCTTCCTAAATGCCTTTTTTCCTCTCCTTTTGGTCTCCAAATGGCATTGTCAGCCATTGGTAATGCTCTTCCTCATACCCCGACTAGCCTCAGAAGGATGTTCTCCATATAGAGTTAAGTGAGTGCCTAATCTCTCTTTTTTAAGACTTTGTTCCCTTATCTTGAGGAATAAGAGCTCCATCTTCAACTTTTTATTCCCCTCTTGATTTTACAGTTTGGTAGATTTCAAACTGGAATAGCTAGCATGTGCTTGCTAAATAATTTTATGTCAGCCTTATCCTGTATCCTAGCTGTTCATAATAGCAGGTACAAAAATGCCTCTCTTTTTTTTTTTTTTTTAAACAAGGTTGAAATTGGGAATGTCCTTTTGAATCAGATAAAAATAGGCCATAGACTCATCCCCCAGCACAAAAGGGCATTCTATGAAGTGTTACCAGCCTGGGGAGGATTTCTTCAAATACTCTCCTACTCTGGCCTTGAACCTACCTCTAGATTGGATGTTATAGCTGCTCACAGCATCCTCCTGCATGCTTATTAGAGTAATGCTTTGGGAAGAACACTGGTAAAACACAGTATTTATTTTTCACCTCCCTTCAAAGGACTTGGAGGTAAGTTGCATTCATTCATTCAAGTTTCCCTCTTGCTGTCTAAGGATAAAAGCTTGTATTTTGTTATATCAGCATTTGTTATAGCCAATATTTAAGGATAAGATCTAGAAAACCTATCATTTCCTGGCCCACCATCAAACTAAGTATGGCTTAATCTCGCAGCATATCAACTTTGTTTCAAGCTAGATATCTTTATTTGATATCTAAAGTGAAAGACCAACCACTTACCAAGATATCTATAAACATGAAGGCAAAGCTCTTGTGTTTTATCATCCAGACACCTCAATTTATTTTATAAATTTGTTTCATCTTCCTGTTATGTTTTATATAATATATGGTCTTAACTACAAAATAAAATAACAGTAATAAAATAACAAAAGAGGATATTTCCTCTTGTGCTTCTCTTATTATTGTCTGCAGAATTTCCTTCTTTTGTATTTCCCCTCTGCTCCCGACCCCTAAATGAATTTTTAGCCCAGTCATTATTTGAAATAATATTTCATCCATTGTTATTCTAAATGGTCTACATAGTACTGTTCCTCTGACTGTCCCTCAGGGACACATTGTGGGGCAGACAGGGTTAGGGTGGGCATCAAGTGGTTAGGAATATGTAAGAGATGAGTATATAGCAAAGGAAAAAGGGAACATTCATCTGGAACACAGGAGACTTGGCCTTTATCTAGACTCTGGCAATAACTAGTGGCTCTCTGCAGATTGCCTAATTAGTCTGAAATTCATCATTAGTCAAATAAGATGTTTCTAAATCTTAATGTTTCTTCTACTCCAACAGTTCTGTGAATCTTATTTTTGAAAATTCTCAAGGTGATTTTATCTTTTTAGAAATAATCTGTTTTTATCAATATGCATAAAGCCTTTCTGTGATATATTCTTCTTCCTCTTTTTCCCTTTTAATCACATTTTAACTACTCACCCAAAGGAGCTCCTCTGGTCAGTGTTTCATTTTATCCTGTTAACTCCTAATGGCTGGCCTTTCTTCTGTGCAATAAGCCAGTATTGTTTGTTGTTTTGTTTTTATATTTTTATTGGTTTCAGGGAGGAAGGGAGATGAACAGAGAAATAGAAACATCAATGATGAGAGAATCATTGATCAGCTGCCTCTTGCACGCCCCCTACTGGGGATCAAGCTCGCAACCCGGGCATGTGCCTTGACCAGGGATCAAACTCTGATAGATGGATGGTCATCAACTGAGCCATGCCGCAAGGGCAAAGAAATAATTGGGGGGGGGGTGTTTGTTTTTTTAATATATTTTATTGATTTTTTGCAGAGAGGAAGGGAGAGGGGTAGAGAGTTAAAAACATCGATTCAGCTGCCTCCTGCACACTCCTTACTGGGGATGTGCCCGCAACCAAGGTACATGCCCTTGACTGGAATCGAACCTGGGACCCTTTAGTCCTCAGGCCGACACTCTATCTACAGGGCCAAATCATTGTTTTTAAAAGTATTTTCATACCTTCCATTTCCTGGACAAAGCATATTGAGATCCTGACTCAGCCCAAAGAAATATTCCTTCCTTCAGAGTGAGTAGGCATAGGTGAGGGTATGGATGAAACATTTGTAAGTTGTGGTGTGCTTGGCATAAATAAGAATTACATAGTTTTTAAAAAATAATATGAAGTAGTTACTAAATATGTACTTTTGCCAAGGTTATGTATTTATTGCCAAGATAACTATAAAAGCATTTTCTGAGGGAAATCCACCTTAAATTTTTGGGATAATTCAAGAAATGTCTCTCTGAAAAAAACCTTTAATTTGTGGTCTCTTGTGGTTAGTGTTTTCAGTTTTTGTAAAGCTGCTCATATATCTATTTTGGGGAAGCTCAAAGTAAATAGTTGGGACCTTACATTTGTTTTACCTTTGTTTTTCCTATTAGCAATGATTTAAGAATACATCAAGCACCTTGACTTGTTAAATAGCTAGTTTTGTAGGATTCCATTAAATTACTTTTAATAAGCCTACCCGGTTCTTGTGAAAAGCCTTATTGGGATATGTTTGATCTGTTTCATTGTTTTAATTCTGTGTTTATCCCCTAATTATGCTATATATCCATAAATAAACTGTCATAAGCCATAGCCTGGTATAGTAGGAAATGCACAGGGGTTTAGGTAGGGATCAGTTCCATTATCTACCATGCTGTAACCTTTGCAACAGGACTGCCGCAGTTCACAACTGCAGGGGCCACCATTCATAGCTGTTGTGTACCATGTTCATAGAATAAATGTTAATGGTGTCCCTGAAATAGTACTACAATGGCCTTGCTTTCTGAACCTGTTTTTTCCTCTCCTGTTTTCTGCCTGAGTTAAACAGGGTTCCTTAGAACTTGCATTGCTCTGCCTGGATTATTGTAGCCCCCTTACTGGTCTTGTTTATGACTCCCTCCAATCCTTCCTCTACCCAGGAGCCAAACTATCTAAATTTCTTATCAGCATGTCGTACCCAGCCAAGGTGATGAGGCAGGCTGCCAACCATGCACACAACTTGCGGTGCATGATCACTGCAACACAGACCCAAAGGAGCTGAGTTAACCTGCGCTGACCAATGGACAGTGTCCCTCCGAGCACAGATCCCAGTATGTCCTTCCTCCTGTCACAGCCCAGAGACTTGCTGGGGTCAGGGAAGTGCTTTTAGTTGTTTTGTTGAGCCCCACAAAATATACACGATGTGTGGTAAAAAAGATAGTCATCATTTCACTACTAGTGACCCCCCCCCCAAAAAAAAAAAGCTTTTTTTTTCTTTTAAGTCCTCAATATTTTCCATTGATTTTTAGAGAGAGTGGAAGGGAGAAGAAAAGAACTATCGATGTGAGAGAAACACATTGCTTGGTCCCTTCTGCACACGCCCAGACCAGGGCCTGTTCTGGGGAGGAGCCTACAACCAAGGTACGTGCCCTTGACCAGAATTGAACCTGGGACTTTCGTTCCACAGCCCGACACTCCATCCACTGAGCCAAACTGGCCAGGGTCAAACACTATTTTTTTAAAGAGAGCAGTTTTATTGATTTTTAGGAAGAGAGAAAGGGAGAGACAAATGATGTGAAAGGGCAGCATGGGTCAGCTGCCTCCCACACGCCCCTCCAACCTGGGCTTGTGCCCTAACCGGGAATCATTTGACAACCATTCGGTGCATGGGACAACACCCAACCCACCGAGCCACACCAGCCAGCGCCCAAAAGCTATTTGAGATTCAATATCAATAAAGAGCTGTCACTTACACCCAGGAACACACAGACACGCCCACAGTTCCCTTGGACCCAGGCACCCAGCCCTTCCCGGCACCCAGCCCCACTCGCCCCTGCCCCGGGGTCTCTGCACAGCTCTCCTGGTTCATCAGTGGTCCGTGCCGCCCATGAACACAGACGTGCACACAGCGTCCTGCATCCAGACACATGATACCTCGTTCACTTTTGGCATCATGGTGGGCTGGAAGCAGCACTCCCCAATGCTTGAGGCCATAGGACCCCTTGTCCCTGGGGCTGAGCCTCCTGCCCCCAGGCCCTGGCCTACAAGGCCAGGCTCTGAGCCTCCCCCAACCTAGGGCCTCCCCATCAGGCCCAGTGTGGACAGGCCCAGGGTCCCAGCCCCACTTTTCCTTCCCATCCACTTGTCACCCCTTTTAGCTTGGGTTTTTCCATCTTCCCATGAGTGAGGGCAGTGGACACAGCTCCCATCCCAAGCCCCAGCCCTGGCTTCTGTCTGGACTTTCCATCCCCCTAGTTTTCATTCTTTGTAATGAAAAATTCCAACAGAAGCCCACGGCAGGAGCCCTTGCAGCCCCAACCCCTCACAGTGGGCCCCGTCAGAACTGAAAATTGCAAACCCCAATTTTAGATTCAGTTGACCGGCCCCAATCGCTCAGCACAGTCAGCAGATGTGAGCTGCAGCTGCTGGCCCCAATTGCCCCTGAGGGCTTCTCCACCTCCACCTACTCCTGAGGGGCAATCAGGGCAGCAGCCCACTGATGGCACCAGCCCACTTGCACCCGCTGCTGGCGCCAGCCCCAATTGCTCTGCGCTGTAAGCGGGTGCAAGTGGGGCCGGCGCCATCAGTGTGTGGGAGTGGCG